TTTAAGTTGATGTAAATTTATTCTTATGACATTCCAGTTTGTTCTTTTTATACAAAGCAAACCTTCCTCCATTATTGCAAGCGTAATACAAAAGTCATAGCAGCTTAACAAAATGAAAAAAGTGTGCACTAGCTAAATTATATATTTTGCTGGCAATATATTTCCTACATTCCTTCTTTTTGTTGTTCTTTTTTTTAAAATCTCTTTCTGTTTAGACAAGGGTGATGGCAGTGATGCTGAGACTAGCATGTCTGAGGAGGACATCCTCTTACAGGACGAAATATGTAAATCTCGTCTAACCAGTATCAAACGGGTAATTTTCTTTATGGTGCCATGGTTACTTGCCTAATTGGTACACCTTCTTAATCTGCTTTCTATGATTGTATTTCAGGAGGAAGAACAGTATATGAGAGAGAGAGATCGGTATGAGTTGGAAAAGGGGAGGCTTATACGAGAGATGAAGCGTCTCAGAGATGAAGATGGCTCACGCTTTAACAACTTCCAAATTCTTCACCATCGTTATGCTCTGTTAAATCTTCTAGGAAAGGGAGGGTTCAGTGAGGTTTACAAGGTATACTCTTGCTTTATGTATAATCTTGAAAACTAAATCGGAGGCATTTAATCATACTAGGCCTATATGGCTAATATAAAAACAGTCATTCTTTGCTTATAGATAAGAAATACCAAATTTTGCAGCTATTTAGTTACATGTGGGCCCCTATTGAACACTTGCTTAAAGAGGGTAGGTGTGTTACTTTAAGGCCCATCTTTCTGTAGAAAATGTACTGCTGTAGTCTACCATCCTAAACTATCTTGATGGTTATATTTGTGTTGGAACATTTGACTAGCTATTTGAGATATTTTCTTTTTCATGAAGTCAGTCTAATGTGTAGTGATGTCTTCATAGAAATTTGGCCTGATAGTACCAGCAGTTACATGCGACAATTTCTTTTTCACAGGCTTTTGATTTGGTGGAGTACAAGTATGTGGCATGCAAGCTTCATGGATTGAATGCTCAATGGAGTGAGGAGAAAAAACAGAGCTACATACGTCATGCGATTCGTGAATATAACATTCACAAAACTTTGGTGCATCCAAACATTGTCAGGCTATGGGATATATTTGAGATTGATCACAATACATTCTGCACCGTCCTAGAATATTGCAGTGGTATTATATGTTTTTATGACCTTCGTAATCCTGATCGATATGACAACATAACAGTCTTTTATTTGTTCGCTGCTGCTGATACCTGTCTGTGGAGGACTTCATTCTGTAGTCATGCTAACATAAACTCATAATTCTGAAGTGTTAGATAGATACTGTCTTACCGAACTTTAGGCATATATTTGTTATTGGCCACATGCATTCATGTTTATAGTTCTTGGATGAATTTGTTCCATTTTGCCAGTCAAAAACTAGGTGGTTCTTGTAGAGGTAATAGTTGCTGACCCATATATAAAAATGAAGTGAATGAATAAACTGATGCTTCATAGATTTGGTAATGGTTTATACAATTATTTCTCCCACATTTACCCATTGGTCAGACTAGGATAGGTTGCCAATGGGAAAAAAAGGCAGGGGCAATATGCTGTTGACTCGGGTTTGTATCCCATCCTCTGTCTCGACAATGACAGACAAGTTGACAAAATAAATAAATAAGACTCATGCGCCATAAACTCTACTGTATTTACTGCTAGCAATTCTATTTTTGATACTTCTATTTTGAGCCACAACTGTTACAGCAGCCACTGCCAACACTAATAACTACACAGATATGTTTTCTCAGTGAAAACAAAAAATTTCTTCCAATGCTCGCTATCTTCTTAATCAACATACATTCCATTTTACATGTATTTTGATCAGTTCTGTGAAGCTTTCTTTTACAATGATGTAGTCTTTAATGATGGTTTTCCTTCCTAAATCTGTAACCCTCAGATCAGGAAATCATCAATCATGAGATGTAATAATGTTCTCTTCATTGCTATTGTTTCAACCAGGCAAGGATCTTGATGCAGTCCTTAAAGCTACACCAATTCTTCCAGAAAAAGAAGCAAGAATCATAATTGTTCAAATATTTCAGGGCCTGGTTTATCTAAACAAGAGGGGCCAAAAGATCATTCACTACGATCTAAAACCTGGCAATGTTCTCTTCGATGAGGTTGGTGTTGCTAAAGTTACAGACTTTGGCCTCAGCAAGATTGTGGAGAATGATGTTGGGTCTCAGGGAATGGAACTCACTTCTCAGGGAGCTGGAACCTATTGGTGAGTGTGATCCTTCCAGTTGATCTTTTGCACTAGCTCACAGAAACTTTCAATCTTCCTGCTGTTATGGAATTTTTTAATTATTTGCATTTTTTGCTATATTCCTGATGCAGTACATGCTATTTCTAAAAGAGTTGCAGCGTTCAAGTATCAATCTAAAACCTTCGAAAGGAATTACCTTTTGTTTTCATTGAGTAGTCACATTGCTAACAGGACATTTTCTTCTTTCCTATAATGCCTTACTTGAACAAGTGGGATACATTTAGTTTTTATTTATTGGCACGACATCATTGTTTTCTTTTTTATGGCCATTGTTCCTTTAGAATGGCAGGCATGTCTCGCTTCAATTATTTTCTGTTCTTTTTCAGGTATCTTCCTCCAGAATGCTTTGACCTCAGCAAAACACCATTTATTTCATCTAAGGTAATTATATCTGGCAACTGTTCTACCTATTAGTGCGCTAACTGGCGAAAATATATTATGGTTCTTGTGATTTTGTATTTTTTTTCTAAATTATTCTACTTAACCAATAGCATAATATATTCAGGTGCCAAAGATAATAGGTCTCCTCACTTTAGCAAGTAGTTTGGGGATGTTTCAGTTGTGAGGAGGTATCATGAGGTGGTTTGGTTGTATGCAACTTTTACATAAAAAACACATATATCATCTCTAGCTCACCTCATTTATGTAGGCCTGGGCTCATTTATGTGCCTCCTGAACTCAATCCACTTTCCACAGTAACATTTTTGAAATTTGAACTTCATCCTGATTAGCAATGGCGCATTAGCTTTTCCATTCGTTTTCATGCAGGTGGATGTTTGGTCAGCTGGTGTAATGTTTTACCAGATGCTCTTTGGAAGGCGTCCTTTTGGTCATGATCAGACTCAGGAGAGAATACTTCGGGAAGATACAATTATCAATGCACGAAGAGTGGAGTTCCCTTCAAAGCCAGCTGTATCGAATGAGGCAAAGGTATGTTTCCATTTTTTTCACATGGTGTAAATAGTTGCATACCCATCACATGTATCAATCCCATCAATGCAAGATACTATACTTGCATTGGTGAGACCTACAGTTTACTGCTTTGTTTAATTTGGCATGTTCATTCTGTCCTCAGCTTGCCCTGAGAATTTGCTGATGTTGGTTAGTTTGGCAAAAGTGTGATCTCACCTCACTGCAAATAAAAACATTTAGCTGTACTGTAGTCAGTGCCAAGTCTCCATTGTCGTTTTCATTCTAAAATTGTTTCAGTCATCTGTGAGCTAGTTTGATTCTTTTCCTTTTCCATTGTCCCTGAACATTCACAGGATCTGATACGCCGGTGTTTGACATACAACCAATCAGAGAGGCCAGATGTACTAACCATAGCTCAAGATCCTTATCTCTCATATACAAAGAAGTAGCCACTACTCCGGATAACATTTTGGCGAGGGTACCTGCTCACTTAATTAATGAGATTATGTATGGGGATGGATATTCTCGTGAAGGAGCAAAGTGTTCCACTAGCTCAAGAAGACCACAAAGGGTGTAACTGTATATGTTGTAAATTTTAGTCTGCCCTGTTACAGCAATGACCTGAAATCCAGAAGGCATCAGTTCAAAGGCCAGCTTCTTTGTAACGTAGAGAAAGCAGGCATTGGTTTGAACGGGCCATTTACTCTTTGATTGAAATCTCCTTGACTCGCTTGTGCCATACACCCCATGCGTAACGTGATGGTTTCTTGGCTGGTGGGCAGTGGTCCTGTTGATGGTTTTTTGTTTGCTCATACTGTCGGTAAGGTCTGCCAAATCAGGAACCATGAGTGACAGGAGAGCGCTCACATGCTCACCTCCAAAAAAATCTCGACCTGCTGCACGAACGTGATACTGATACCTGGCCGGATGGGCTGGATTTTGTGTATTGCGAGAACAGATATCAAGATAGCATGCTTATACAGGTTACTTTGGATAGCCTGTAGATCCACCACAGCCACAGCTCAAAGTCTGAGAATTCCAGAAACGGGGTACCGATGTTCCTGTCAGATTTCAGCTGGTGCCAGTTTGTTCTAGAGCGCTGCCACACTTCATTATTTAAACATACTTGTACAAGTTAAAAACCACTGGGATTGTTCATTGCTCATACTTGAGTACAACACAAGTTGGTTGTTCATTGCTCATGAATATCTTGATCAATGCAAGCTGCCTTTTTATTCCGACTGGTATAGTCAGTTTTACTGTTTTTGATCGCCTATTTCAAACTGAAGTTGCCTTTGGTACTGTTTTTGGCTTTGTTTTTTTTTGTTACTGAAGCTGCCTATTTCAAACTATGTTCAGATGTTTCATGTTTCTGGCACTGGAATTTTGTGCCAATCAGATTTTTACTTGATTAGCTCATGTTTCTGGCACTGGGATTTTTTAGACTTTTGCGCCAATCTCATTTTTACTTGATCATGAGCCACCGCAGAAGTGAGAGTTGAGCAAAATCAAAGCTTTGATTATCATATAAGAATGAGATGGCTCATCTTGTGGATGCTACTCTACAGTGAGAACTGAGCATACACCAAAATTAATCGACACAAACGAAGGAAACAAGAACTCCAGTTCATGTCCCCTCGCCAGAGCACTGTTTAATTCACTTTCCTATCTCTACCACCCATATCCCCTGCTCCGCCTTCTTCCACCCATCATTAATCCCCTGCTCCCTCGCCTTCTTTTAGTACTTTCCTATCTCCCACCCATATGTGCTCCGCCTTCTTCTAGCCCGAACCCGAGAGCGGGAACAGCGGGTCGTAGTTCTTGTCGCCGTAGTTCATCGGCAGCTGGTCCACCGACTTGAACCACGTCCGCGGCAGCTTCCCCGTGAATCCGTAGTCCCCGAACAGCACGTCGGTGATGCCCTGGCCTTCCGTTCCCGGCAGCCAGACCGCCACGAGCGCGTCCATGGCGCCCAGGAACGGCTGTATCACCACGGGGCGGCCGCTGATGAGCACGGTCGCGCACCGCACGGTGCCGCACACCGTCTGGACGGTGCTCGGCCCGGGGTCCGGGATCGTCAGGTTCATGCTGTCGCCCTTGGTCTCCGTGTACGGGTGCTCGCCCACGGCCACGATAGCGTACGAGAAGCCGCCGTTCTTGACGAAGTCGGCGTCGGGGTTCTCCGCGAACACCACCGTCGTCGACGGGTCCACGGCCGCCTTCACGGCGTCCAGGATCGTGGTGCCGACGGTGATGCGCCCCGTGTCGCCCTGCCACTCGATCGTCCACCCGCCGCACTGGTACCCCAGGTTGTCGGCGTGGCTCCCGGCGACCAGGATCTTGGCGGCCTTCTTGGGCAGGGGCAGCAGCGGCGCGTCGCCCGGCTTGCCGTTCTTGAGGAGCACCAGCGACTTCCTCACCGCCTCCCTCGCCAGGTCTCTGTGCTCCTGCTTCCCCAGCTGGTCGGCGAGGCTAGGATCGGGCATGGGGTTCTCGAACAGGCCCATGGTGAACTTGACGCGCAGAATCCTCGTCACAGCGTCGTCGATCCTGCTCATCGGGATCAGGCCGCTGTTGACGTGACCGGTGAGGATGGTGATGAAGCTTTGGTAGTTGTTGGGCACCATGATCTGAAGCACACCACACAGTTCGTTGATCAGCATCATCATCATCTCTTTAGGTGATGCCAGAGCCCAGAGCCTGACCATGTCAATGCTCGTTTTGCTTACCATGTCAATGCCAGCAAGAATTGAAGCCTGCACAGAGTAGGAGTAGTTCGCCCCTGAAGGGCTGGTGATCCTGTCAATGCCCTCCCAATCTGATATCGTAAAGCCCTGTAGAAAAAATACAGGCAGATTCTGAGCACCTAAAGGCAGCAAATCCCAACGGATTAACAACACCTGAAGACTGTAAGCGCGCCTGTTGTTCTCACCGTGAAGTTGAGCCTGCCCTTGAGGTGGTCTGTGATGAGGTCGTGGTCGGCGTGCATCTTGAACCCGTTCCAGCTGGAGTAGGAGATCATGACCGTGGAGACGCCCTTCTCGAGAGCGTCCAGGTAGGCCGGCATGTGGATGTTCATCAGCCCCTCACGGTTGATGATGGTGTTGTTCTCGTTGATGCCGTTCTGCGTTCCACCGTCGCCGACGAAGTGCTTGGCGCACGCCGCCACCTTGTTCCTGCGACAATTTTTGCAACAGCCATTCAGAACACATGGACGGTAGCTTTACATTGATGATAGTCGAATCTGTTGGGGATCTCTTTACTCACTTTCCGGCGACGTAGGGCTTGCCGCTGGTGAAGTTCTGCGGGACGTCGCCCTGCAGGCCCGGGATGAGCTCAGTCATGGACTGCACGATACGGTGGTCCTCGCTGTAGCTCTCGTAGCACCGACCCCACCTCGGATCACGGCACACCTGCGCACCAACAGGCAACAGCAACATCGATCAGCAATTCAGCACCACTGAAGCCAAAGCCAAACTGACTATATATTAGGAAAGGAGCTGGCATTGTCAACGATTCAGGATGCTTACAGCAATGCATGGCGCAAACGCGTACTGGATGCCGGTGGCTCTCACTTCAAGCGCGGTCGCGGCGCCGATCCTCTTCACTAGATTAGGATCCCTGCACGGTGCAGTTCAAAGGAACACGAGGATGAGTCAACCATAGCAGTTAGCAGGCTACACAAGTTAGCATTGGCGACGCGAGCTGGAGAATGTGCTTGCCTGGTGGCTCCGAGCCCGACGTTGTGGGGGAAGATGGTGGCGCCGTACACGTTGTTGTGGCCGTGGACGGCGTCGATGCCGTAGATCATCGGGATGCCGAGGCGCGTGGACAGGCACGCCTTCTGGAAGTCGCTGATCATGGCCACCCACTCCGCCGCCGTCGCCTGCTTCCGCGGCACGCTCCCGCCGCCGCTGAGCAGGCTGCCGATGTAGTAGTCCTTGAGCACCTGCGGCGACGCGACGAGCCGCTCGATCTGCGTCATCTGGCCGATCTTCTCGGCCAGCGTCATCCGGGCGAGCAGGTCCCTGACGCGGACCTCCACGTCGTTCTTGGGGTCCTTGTACGGCGGCACGCCCTGGGCCTCACCGTACGCCGCGGACCAGAAGAGGAGCAGCAGCGCGGCCACTGCCGGCGCCGTGAGCAGCGCCATCCTGTGGCGGCGAAGGAGCGGGACAAGGCGCCTCCGGACCTGCGCGTCGTAGCATTGCAGCGACCATATCAGAATCTCCGTGAAATGCTCCTCCAGGGGCTCGAGGACGCCCGACCTGAAGCGGCCGGCAAGCTCGCCGCCCATGGCCGGTCGCAGTCAACGGCGGCAAGAGACGGGGACGACGAGATGCAGGGATCCAAGAAACCATTTATGGTTTGTACTAACGAGACTACTACGACCGGCTTCACTCGTCGGCCGTGCCATGTGTTAGTGGTGCTTGCAAATGGAATATGATTTATGGTCGAGTAATTAAGATTTAACAAGTAGGCTGTCAGATCAAGGTATCTTTTTTACAACAATGCTATATAACACATATATGTTTTAACAAAAAAAAACACGCAGTGACTCGGATCTGGCTCTAGGTAGCTCCTCCTGATCTGTGATTTGTCGTTCCAAAGAAAATTTTATTTCTTGTGATCTATGGAAATCTGTGATATTTGATGGAAGAAGGCCTTGATGCTAACATTGTTGTTTTTTTATGGTGTAAACAATATAATGGGCCTTGATGCTAACATTAGTTTTAACTAGTGTTTTGCTGACAGAGCAGCATGGTTTAATAAACATAAAAGGGATTAATGCGATCAAGCTCCAGACTAGATATTCTATCAGCAGTCTCTGTAAATTCCTAGCACTACCAGTAACAACTGAAAAGAGCAGGACTTCGGGGGGTTAAAACTAAATAAAAGTAAGACCAAAACATCAAAGGATTTTCTTGTCGGTGGTCTAAAAAAAACTCGTGCGTATATTGCTAAAACCAAGAACAGGAAATTAGCTGCCAATGAAAGAGATTTGCCTGCAAAGCACTACTACTCCAAAGCAGCGAAACTTCATCGGAAGGAGGAGGAGGAGGAGGAGGAGGAGGGAGCTGTGGCCATGAGAGCGAACCAATCAATTACCAGTAACAACTGAAAAGAGCAGGACTTCGGGGGGTTAAAACTAAATAAAAGTAAGACCAAAACATCAAAGGATTTTCTTGTCGGTGGTCTAAAAAAAACTCGTGCGTATATTGCTAAAACCAAGAACAGGAAATTAGCTGCCAATGAAAGAGATTTGCCTGCAAAGCACTACTACTCCAAAGCAGCGAAACTTCATCGGAAGGAGGAGGAGGAGGAGGAGGAGGAGGGAGCTGTGGCCATGAGAGCGAACCAATCAATCACCAGAAGCAGAGGAGGAGCTGGATCGATGGAGCCTTGCTGTGCCACAAATGCGTGAGCCCGGCAAGGACGAACAGGAGGCTGCTGGCTTGGGTTATATATGAAGCAAGTACAAGCACGAAGACGAAGCTCCGGCGCTCTTCGGAGAAGAGGCAGCGGCACTGCTCGTATGAAGCTATGAAGGGAAAGGTGAGACGACGAAAATTCAATGCGTTTGTTGCAACGGATTGGAATCCCTCTCTCGCACACAAAGGTCCAACACGCGTGAACGGACGGCCCCCTCCGAGTGCAGAGTGTGCCCGGACACGCGCTACATGCCATCAACAAGAGGACACACCAGCGCAGCGCATGCACGCGTGTGTTCGTGCCGTTACGTAACTACCGGTGCAGTGCTGGATTGCTATTGCTGCATACAAGTGCGGAGTGCCATTGGTTTGATTCTGCAAGAAACCGCCCATGTCTTACCGGAAAGGTAGAGCAGCAGATGGGAGAAGGAGGAGGAGGCGAGCATCCTGGTTTGTGCTCCCCGGCGAGTGTGCATATAAAGGAGCAGAGCAGCAACCGGAGAGCAGGTATGGCGGATAAGGGATGAGGAGTGGTTGGAGCAGGGACCGCGCCCGCCATTGGCACCTTCAATGCGTGCCAATCCCTCTCCCGGCCCCGGCGGGAAAATATCCTTTTTCCTCCGTGACGATCCGTTCGTCGTCCCCAATTGTTGCCTTCCGGCGCGGCGAAAGCAACCCCCGTCGGTGACGGAATCTGTCCTGTTCTCCTCCCTCCGGCGAGAATTACGGCTACTGCTGGATTACTACTTACAACTACTGCCGCGGTTAGTGTGCAAGCAAGAGGTGGTTGAAGGAAGAAGACGAGGACGGCGAGAGCCGCCGGGTGTTAGTGTCAGCAAGAGAACAAAACCCGTGTGAACAAGCGCAGAAAGAACGAATGCAACAAGTCCTTGTTCTGTTTTTCTTTTGCCAAAACATCGGGGACTCACTCGTGCGAGCAGTTTCATCCCCACCCCCATGTGAGCGATCCGGGACACCGTGGGGACGCTCGGGAGCGCAGAGCGGCGAGGCCGGCGGTCGTGGAAAGATTGAGCAATGCCGCGAAAGGGGAAAGCCCAGCGGCTCGAGGAGGAAGAGGATGGCTAGATGATGCATGCCTGCGCGAGATTTATACATATTCATAAAGAAGAGCAAGGACGGGACTGCTGTTACTTACGGGATGAGGCTAGGTATAGGTAAGTCGTCTCGCTCAAGGCAAGAACGAATCCGCGCGGTGAACTGAAGTGGGTGGCCGGTGCGGCAGCAGCAGAGCAGGGGACCCCGTCGATCGAAAGCGACGCCGTCCCCGTCCCGTCCCAATCAGCAGCGACCCGCAACCCGCCGCACTGTTCCTTGACGGCAGCACACACTCCTCTGCCCTCTCTCTCTCTCTCTCTCTCTCTCTCTCTCTCTAATCTAATCAAGCCCTATCCTGCAGTGCCAACTACCAAGCTTATCCTGCTCCCTCCGCCTCCGCCTCCGGCTTCCAACTTGTCAGCGAATTATTCCACCAAGTGGAGGAGTGCGCGCAGAAGCAACGCCGGCTGATTAAGCAAGCCGAGCAAGCAACAATGGCTGACACTGGACCGAGGAAGACGAAGCGGAGGGGAGTGCGGTGTGAGGTTGCGCAATGGCGGACGCAATGGTTTTATAGCGGGAGACGAAGGGATCCAGGAAACGGGCGGGCTCGGGGACGCGCGGCAACGGACAAGGGGAAGCAGAGCAGAGGATGCGCCAGGGCGGCTCGTTGATTGAATAGCAATAAACCCCAACGTTCGAATCGGGGGCACGCGTCCCGCCGCCCGTGAAGGAACCGACGGCTGGGATCCGTCCAGGGGTCCGACCGAGGCCCCGCGTGCCGTGGCCCGTGGGGTAGGCCTGGGGGAACTGGGGATGGGAGGGCAACGTGAGCGCCATGTTGGGCTGCCTCTTTTCCTTTCCGTGGTCTGCGGCTTTTCGGCGAGGGAGCCAACGGTCAGTAGGGCGGGCAAATGCAATGCGAGACAGACGTTGCTAATCTTTTTTGAATAATTATAATTATAATTATTATTACAGCTTTGCTAATCTCAATGCTTCTTCTCATGCCTTCTGTTCACGGGCTGGATCTCGACATCTTTTTGTTTGTTTTGGGAGATGTGGTTGATTCGATTCTCCGTCTTGCGGATTTTGATATTTGAAACTTGGGAGCTGGACAGTTTGAGTTTCGGATCTTGTTTGTCATTTCCAATGCTCATTGCAAAATTGAATCTACAAGATGATGTTGCTTTAGCTACCGTTGGTTTTGGTCATGTCACTATATCAAGTCCTAGAATGATGCAGTGTTATGAAAGTTTAGTGTAGGTTTCTGAAAATGTCGCTACCTGTGAGAGTTTTAAAATCAAATGCACATCTATTCTTAAAATAAATTAAACACTCACGTTGGATATTTTCTTAACATGATGATGAAAAAAGTAACAAAGCATGAAGTGGGTATACATATAGCGAATTGGCATGCATGGAAACTCACGAGTCTTGTATGAAAGAAATGCAAATTAAGCTCATCTCATGCCAAAGAGACCAGAGGAAGGCCGAACCACACTCAAGAAGATGGCCCATTTGCAAATATGATGTGAGCATGCACACATCATCTCATCAATTTTCTCTTTAACATCGTCAATTTTATTACTGACAACTTGTTCCAACGGTTTATAACCCTAAACATCAATAGCTTGCGTTTGTTATTATTTACCGGTCGCCATCATCCGTGATCGCGTAGTCAATAGAGGTGAGGGTACAATGCAATTTTCAAATAGCGAGTTAGCGCTGGATTAGTGAACAGGACCACGGTGATAACGAAATGTCTCCTCTCCCTCTTTAATTACTAGCATGTCCTAACGTTTCTTCTTACAGAAGGGGAAATTAATAATAATAACTTAAATGGTAAGGACAGTGAAGAAGGTATTGATGGGGATGCACGCAACAAAGTGGACTATAGTGGAGTACGTAGATTGAAAGGAGGATCTCATTTTCCCGTGGAGGGAACATTCATGATTGAATGATACTGATAAGGACGTGTGCCGCGTTTCATTGATTGCTTTAGATCTGTGCATTTATTATTTCCAATTCCAATTCAGACCAAGTTTAAGTGCGTGCTATCACGTTTGTAGAAAATGTGGCTGTTCCTCTGTCCAAAAATGTTGAAAGAATGTTCTTCGTTAAAAAAGAAGTTGTGTTTGCTAAAAAATATTTGCCCTAATGACATAGCACAACTTTTTAGGCCTGTTCGGCTGGTATTAAAGTCGACTGATAAGCCGGTTGAAGCTGTTTTGTTGTGAGAGAAAAATACTGTAGATTCTATCTGATAAGCCGACTGATAAGTTAAGTGAACAGACCGTTTCTTATTCTTTTTGCAAGAAACTACTCCATCCGTTCTTGAAATATAAAATCAGAGTTCAAGATTTCTACCAAAATATAAGGTATTCTGGGGGTTTAATTTTAATCCCTCTCCCCTATCTTTTTTGGTAGAAAATATTGAGATTTCTTTCAATTTTGGTCTCAACCAAAACAGACAGCCAGTAAATAAGAAAAATAACAACTGAACAACTCCCGTCACTGTAATTAGTGAGGGGCAAAGTAGTCTTTTCCCAACCTTTTTGTTTCATCTAAAAATCATCTGGGTATCCTATTTCGAGACAAAGAGAGTAATACATAACACACAATCGCTCCCAATCAAGGATACATGTCTTTGGTGACGGGTTGCACACAATTTTATTTCCTTTCTTTTCTTTTTTGGTGAAACATAACACATGCGAGAGACTGGACTGGTAAAATGTAGATCTTGATTAAATAGACCAAACTACTCCACCTAACGAAATATGTTTAGTGAATAGTACTTGTGTGAAGTATG